TTTTTTTTGACTTGTAGAATTGTTAGTTTCCTTTGTGGTTACTTTAATTTTTACCCCTATTTTTCTAAGTTTATACCAGTCTTTTATTTCTTTAAATTGCCTTGACTTCCTCTGCATATGAAAAATCTATGTCTACATTTTTTAAGTCCCTCTTTTTTGTTTTGATGTCATCATCTTTTACATATTGACATCTGTTTCTCTATTTTCAGTGTTTTAGTTTTGATTTATTTTTATGATTTCCCTGTCTGGGTTGATATCTGGTTGCTCTGTCCTGTGTTCTGGTCTTGGGTTGTTATCTGATGTTACTGATTTTCTAACCGGAGGACTCCCTTTATTATTTCTTGTAATTTTGCTTTGGTTTTTGCAAATTCCCTAAACTTTAGTTTATCTGGAAATGCCCTAATTTCGCCATCATATTTGAGAAACAGTTTTGTTAGATATATAATTCTTGGCTGGCAGTATTTTTCCTTCAAGCCTTTATATATGTCATCCCATTGTTTTCTTGCCTGCATGATTTCTGCTGAGTAGTCCAAGCTTATTCTTCTTGACTCTCCTTTGTAGATGACTTTTTGTTTATTCCTAGCTGCTCATAAAATTCTCTCTTTGTCTTTGGTTTTGGCAAGTTTGATTATGATATGTCTTAGTGACTTTCTTTTGGGATCTACCTTATGTGGGGTTTGATGAGCATCTTGGATAGTATTGTCTCATTTTTCATGGTATCGGTGAAGTTTTCTGCCAACAAGACTTCAGCAGTTCTCTCTGTATTTTCTGTTATCGCCCCCCCGCCCCGTTCTGGTACTCCAGTCACTCTTAGGTTATTCCTCTTGATAGAGTTCCACATAATTCTTACGGTTTCTTCATTTTTTTAAATCCTTTTATCTGATTTTTCCTCAAATAAGTTGGTGTCAAGTGCTTTACCTTCAATTTCACTAATTCTGACTTTCATTGCCTCAATTCTGCTCCTCTGACTTTCTATTGAGTTGCCTAATTCTGAACTTTTATTGTTAATCTTCTGGATTTCTGAATGCTGTCTCTCTATGGATTCTTGCAGCCTGTTAAATTCGTCATTATGCTCTTCTCTAATGTTTTTAATTTTCTCTGTTGCATGTTCTGCGTTTTGATTAATTTTCTTCTTAATTTTTTGAAGAGTTCTGTATATTAATCTTTCGTATTCTGCCTACGGTAATTCCAAGAAATTTTGCTTCTCTGGAAAATTTCTAGATTTTTTTATTTTGGGAGCTTGCTGAAGCCATCATGGATTGCCTCTTTATGTGATTTGATATTGACGGTTGTCTCCGAGCCATCAATAAGTTATTACTTTTTTTTATTTTATGTTTGTTTACTGTGTCCTAGTTTCTTGTTTTGTTTTGATATGCCCAAATAGGCTGCTCGTGTGAGCTAGTTTGATTATTGGCACCTTTGAAGCTCTAATGTCCCATCACCAGGTGGTTAGATCTGTTACTAGGTATGTGAGCTCAGGAGTCCGCCCACTCCTGTATGGATTCAGCTCAGGTGCCCAAGTAGATAGCCACCAAGTGTGTGGTATGGGCTCTCACTTAACAGTCCTAGACAGGCATGGGTGATTGCTGTGGGCACAGGCATCTGGCTGCAGCAGGGGGACACACTTTGAGCAAGACAAGGGGCTGATGGCTGCCCCCGAGTGTCCAGGAGGAAGGCATGTCCCTGTTCCCTACAGCGCGTAGGTGGGTGGGTTTTGCAGCCGGACTATGAGCACCTAATGCTGTTGGCTTTAAGGATTGGGGGGCACCTCTTATTCATGGGCCCCTCTTCCAGGTTGTTAGGTGGCATGGGTGGAGCCGCCAGTCCTCAGGCCCCTGATGTGGGTAGGTGAAGACCATGCTTAATGGGCAAAGCAGTGTCAGATGTCAAGAACTTGCCGCTTCACAGCTGAAACAGTTGAAGTTAGACTTCTGGTACATACCCTGTTGTGCTGCGGTAATGAGAGCCTACAGTGTTGAGATGGGCCCACAGATGTCTATGCAGGCGGAAGGGTACTCAGAGTTTATGGATTCCTTATGCCTGTTCCTAGGCAAAGGAGATGTGCCTATCCTGGGTTCCTGGCATAGGGGAGCTGACAGTTTATTTTTTCCCATTTGTTAATTTTTTCACTCTCCAAGGCAAGGAGAATGGCTCCGGGTGTGTGACGGATCCTACTTTTGACCCAGGGGACTCAGCAATTGCTGAAGCCGGGCCGGGACCCAGTGCAGAGCAGGGAGCGGGGAGGTAAATGGGAGAGAGGTTTTTCCCTAAGGGTGGTGTTTTTGATCCACGTATTAAGTCGTACGCAAGTACTTATCTTTCGCCGATGAAGGCTGCTTCTCACTGGTTCTGAGTGGCCGTGTAGACTTTCTGGCACTGGGTCTTTCCTGGTGCGGACAGTGTGACTCCCGAGCACCGCTGCTTGCCTGCCTCACTGCTTACCCATGAGCTTCTCAGGCCTGAAGGGCTCAGGCTGTCACCGGTTCAGGTCTGGCAAGTCCTCGCTGCTTCCAAACCATCTCTCCCTCCCCCTGCCACTCAGTCCGATTTCCTTAACTCTGCCTTTGATATTCAGGGCTCCCAGATTGCCATATATAATTGAATCACTTGTTTTTTAGGGTCTTTGTTGTAGAGGGTCCACTTGAAGCGTCTGACTATGCCATCTCGGCCCCGCCTCTCCTAGAATTAGAAATTTTTACTTCAGCTAATGTCTAATTTTTTTTTCTCCCAAAATGATTAACCACATGCCAAACTCCTAGGTCTTTAATCCCTGTGAATTTAATTATCGAACTTTGATTTAATAAATTTGGAGCCAGAACTATGCCTTTGAGATAAATTCTTTTAATGTTTACTCTTGGTTGGGTTCGTAAGATATTAACGAGCATTTAATTGATATAGTACTTAGAATAGTGTTCTAAAAAAACCAAACCAAATTTATTGCCGTTGAGTCAATTCTGACTCATAGCGACCCTGTAGGACAGAGTAGAACTGCCCTATATGGTTTCCAAGGCTATGGATATCTGTGGAAGCAGACTTTCATATCTTTCTCCCGCAGAGTGGCTGGTGAGTTTGAACCACTGACGTTTTCAGTTAGCAGCTTTAACCACTGCACCACCTTAATTTCATTTCATTCTAATAGTTTTGGATCAATAGCATAGTCATTATGGTGGATTAAATATTCAGGTTACATTAAGTCAGTAAAATTCCAGGAAAAGGGGAAGTATGGTGCCTTTTTTTTTTTTACCTCTGAGCCTTTAAAGGAGTTCCTGGGTGGTGCAAACGCTGAATGTGCTTAGCTTTTAACTGAAAAGTTGGAGGTTCAAGTTCACCCAGAGGCTCCTCGTAGGAAAGCACTGGTGATCTACTTCTGAAAAATCAACCATAGAAAACTGCTTTGAAACACATGGAGTTGTTATTAGTTGAAATCAACTCAACAACGGTTGGATTTTACTGGGTCTACTAGTTTTGATGGTAATTTACTAACTTTTAAAGATAAAAATGTCTGGTATTGTTGAACTGAATTCTGAAAGGAAGCTTCAGATAATTCTTTTAACTTCCTAAAATGTCACACACAGAGCCTGATCTCTACTGCTACAAGATCTAAGTAACTTTTAGTTGTATTTTGAAATGTTTGCCAAAAGTTATAAATTAACTTTATAAATGAATGTGTAGTAGTTTATATTACGTGTCAGAGGTAAGTCGGTTAGTAGAGATAACAGTTTATGTTTTGGTGAAATGAAGAAGAGATAATTCTGACTAATTTTCTTTTTTTAGGGGAATTTTTAGAAAAGGTGCGACAGAAAAAAAAACACGGTATCACTGTTTTGGACCTGGGATGTGGTAAAGGGGGAGATTTGCTCAAGTGGAAGAAAGGAAGAATTAACAAGCTAGTTTGTACCGGTAAGAGACATAAATGATGTGGGAAAGAAAGATAGCATTTTCAATATGACGCTTTTGGCAAGATATCTGGGGGCTGTGCACAAGATGAGTATTTTTAAAAATGAATTCTCAGACATTCCTGATAGATTTATAATATGGGTAAGGAGTCTGGGATAACCTGTCCTTTCTCAAGGAAGGAAGCTATCAAAAACGGTTGGAATCGTGTCTAAAGGGCAAACCTAGTAATGCTTCCACTGGCCAAAGATAGGACAATTTGAAAAGGAAATAATGATTGCAATGGTTTGAAACATCAAATAAAGGAAAAAACCTCATTGCTCACTGTTGTAGATTGCTAGGGAACTTATTCCCTATTCTGAAATGCATAAATTAGTGAGGCAGAATCAAGCAGTTGTTATGAACAGCATTTCAAGACAACCGAATAGATAGTAAGGGAAATTTGTTCTTTTTTGAAAAATTATGGGTAATAAGTACAGGAGGAATGATAAAAAAAAAAAATCACTATTTTCCAACACTTGGTGAAATAATAGATGTAGCCAACAGTCATAAAAAGATGCTAAAGCCATGAGGTGAAAGATTGATAGTAACGTAATACATGAATTAATCATCTGAATTTAACTGATCGGTCTTCACACTGCAAGTGGGACAACCAGGCATCATGTTCTTTCTGATGTGATTAATAATAGGAGGTACCCAGCATCACCTGTGAGGCAATGCCTACCTGAGCAGTTCTCAAACTTTGGTTTTAGGACCCCTGTGCACTCTTAAAAATTATTAAGGATCCCAAAGAGCTTTTGTGTATATGGGTTATATCTGTTGATATTTATTGTAAATAAGAATTTTTAAAATATTTTTTAATTCATTGAAAAATAAAATTTAGTGAGAAGATTGACATTGTTTTACATTCTTGCAAATCTCTTTAGTGTCTGGATTAGTAGGAAACAACTGAATTCTCTGTTTCTGTATTCAGTGTGTTATACATTATTTTGGTTGATAAGTAGTTGTAAAATGAAGGAGTATTTTAACAGCTTTTGCAGATAATTGGATATTCGTCTTTGATACTACATCAAACTTGACAAGTGCAAGTTTTTTTAAATGATTGCAGTGTGTAATCTGAAACCATTATCTGAAACCCTATCTATGAACTTTTTCTCCTCTACTACATTAAAATCCACTTGTCTGTCTTGTACTTTGAGTGAACCTTTTTGCCCCACATGATTTTGTAGTATTTGGTAAATGTTTAATTACTGAAGTTACACAGATCTTCCAAATGTTGACATCAAGAAATCACGTTTGCTTTTCTACCTATCGTAAAATGGTAAGTACTGGGAAAATGCCTGTGATGGTGGATACAGGTTTTTCAGAATTCTGATTTCCAGTTGACAGCTCGGATTTTATCATTGGCAAAAAATACTATCCATTGTTTTCCTTTAGGTAACAGGCTCACTTTGTTTATTTTTCAAAACTTCTGCCAGATATCTAAGTCCAAATAACCATAGTGGTCAGTGATTCTCCAAAGTTACAATAATTTTGTATGAAAGAAATGGCCAGGACAGCTCACAACTAACACAATCTCATCAGTGCTCTTCTTCAAGACAACCATCAAACTGGTATACAGAAATGTTTTGCAACTTCCTATTTTATCATATGCCAAAAATCCCCCAAACCCATGGCCATTGAGTCGATTCCAACTCATAGTGGCCCTATAGGACAGAGTAGAACTGCCCCATAGGGCTTCCTGGGAGCAGCCGTTGGATTCAAACTGCCGAACTTCTGGTTAGCAGCCACAGCTCTTAACCACTGCGCCACTAGGGCTCTATGAAGGGTATTAAAAAGAGATGTATTCCAGAGTCAGTACAATTTTTACTGCATTATCAAGAACATTCTTTAGTGAAACTGGCTTTTTTTTCCTGCTAGTATATGGTGATGAAGAATACATGAAGTATTACTGGTACAGTTTGGTCATACTACCTTGTATTCATTGCTAAGGTGCTAGCAATTTTATCTACCATTGCTTTTGCACCATCCATGCAAATTTCAACACAGTTGTCGTTAGGTGCCGTCGAGTCAGTTCTGACTCATAGCAGCCCTGTGTACGACAGAGTGAAACATCCTGAGCCATCCTCATAATCATTGTTTTGTTTGAACCCATTCTTGCAGCCATGGTGTCGGTCCATCTTGTTGAAAGTCTTCCTCTTTTTTCACTGACCGTCTTAACCAAGCGTGATGTCTTTCTCCAGGAACTGGTCCCTCCTGATAACACGTCCAAACTGTGAGACGAAGTCTCGCCATCCTTGCTTCTAAGGAACATTCTGGCTGTACTTCTTCCAAGACAGATTTGTTTGTTCTTCTGGCAGTCCATGGTAATTCAGTATTCTTCCCCAACACCATAATTCAAAGGCATCGATTTTCCTTCAGTCTTCCTAATTCATTGTCCAACTTTCACATGCATATGAGGTGATTGAAAACACCATGGCTTGGGTCAGGTGCACCTTAGTCATTAAAGTGACATCTTGGCTTTTTAACACTAAACTTTTTTTGCAGCAGATTTGCTCCACAGGGAAAAAGGCAAATAATGTATTTTATGAAAATAGTGTTTGTATTATTAAGAAAATCGTTTTGATCTGAGGGACCCCCTGAAAGTGTCTCAGAAATCCCCAAGGGTCCACAGACCACACTTTGAGAATCACTGCCTTAAGTAAGTGAACTTCAGTCTAAACAAGCTCTTAGATCTAACGACAGAAAATATAGGACATGGAGGGAAATCCTAACTCCACATGGATACAGTCAGCCAAATTTAAAATGTAGGCAATTCTGCAGGACAAACGACCTTGTTTCTTCAGCAAATGAATGTTGATTTAATAAAAACCAAATGTAACATGTGGACCTTTTTGTATCATTACTGAAACATAAGCACTGCAAGAAAGTGTTTAGATAATTGGGGGAAATTAAACATGGACTGGGTGTTAAATGAAATGATCATATAACCATATTTCTTTTTTTTGTCCAAACTGGCCTATTTTTTCTGGGATACAAACCATACCAGACAGAACTCTGAGATACCACGTGTATTCCAGCACTGTGCTGGGCAAACAGAACTCTTGAGGTATTGGGTGTGCTGGGCCGACGAGTATTCATGGTCACCCAAATAATAGGTGGTGGTTTGTTGGGCATGATAATGATACTGTGCCTCTGTTCAAAATAATAGTTTTAATTTGTTAGATATACATACTGAAGAATGACTAGGGGAAATGGTAGGAATCTGGGATTTGCTAAATTCAAGCAAAAGGAAGAAGTTGAGGGAAGAAATGAAATAACATGACAAAATCTTGATGGTTGTTGAAGCTGGATACATGAGTACATGGTAGTTCATTGTACTAATCTTTTTACTTTTAAACATATTTGAAAATACCTATTTAAAAAAGTTGAATATAATGTACAGGGGTGAGGAAATACATGAGTTAAGGTAATTCTATTAGTATTACTTTTAAAGTTGGGTTAAAAGTTTACTGGTCCCTGGGTGGCGTGAATGGTTTGCACTCAGCTACTAACCAAAGGGTTGGTGGTTTGAATCCATCTGACAGCACCATGGAAGAAAGGCATGGCGATCTGCTTTTGTAAAGATTACAGCCAAGAAAATCCTATGGAGCAGTTCTACTCTGTAATACACGAGGTTGCCATGAGTTGGAATTGATTCAATGGCAGCGAGTTTGGTTTTTTTTTTATTTGTAAGTTTACATTCCTTAGCAATAGTTTGTTTAAACAGGTAGCAAATGCACAATAAATAAAAATTTTATCTGTATATGTATATATATATATT